GTCATATGGGCAACCGGTACCAACGATAAAATGTCAAATAAAATAAGTTATTATGCCCCCTTCGAAGAGGGGGTATATTGCTTTGCCCATGTCGGTCGGTCGGTCCGTCCGTCCGTCCGTCCGTCCGTCCGTAGACCATGCCATTTCCGCTCAATAACTAGACAATATGCTTTGGCTGATGATCCTCATATTTGGTGTGGAGGTTGGTCATGACTAGTAGATGACCCCTATTGATTTTGGGGTCAGTAGGTCAAAGGTAAAGGTCACAGTGACCTCACCATGAAAAGCTTGTTTTTAGAAGATATTTTGTGTGTAACATTGTCTCATTGACAACTACAGGGTTTACTCAATTCATGGATCCATGGGTCATATTGGTTCTGCCCCATGGCAATGATATACATGTATTCCATAACAAATTTACTATGCAATTTTTATACACATTTAAAAATCTAATGTTATAATATTAAATTGGCTGTGTTTAGGGGGACATACTTGTTTTACAAACATATCTTGTTAACATCTGCATTGCGCTACTCTACACTTATAGCTATATTCAGTGTCGTCACTCGAACTCAACCTCCACTCAAACTCGGGAAAGGCTTCCTTAAGGACGAATTGAGGACGCCTTGGTCAAGGTGAACTCAAGTGTAGAATTGGTATTCATATTTGAAAGTCTTCCTCGACTTACCCGAGGAAGGTTTGAGTAGCAAATCATCCGTAAAATCACTGTTATAGGTGATCTGTTCAATAAAATATACAATAATTACATAATTCATTATGTATATCAATTGGATTTCAAGATAAGTATTGATTTGAAAGTATCATAAATATGAGTTTGGTACAGACATCATTTGTACATGCACTTTTGAAAATGATTTGCAGAATGAAACGTTGACTAATTAGCAAGTGGTCTGTGTACAGTAATAATTCATCTATATTTAAATTATATTCTTGCTTCTACCATCAAACTCCAATAGGGCTACAGTGTGTTCTGATCGAATATCACCCTCCTAGAATATATTTCTCGGGGAATATTTCTTATATCACTGGGGTACATAACTCTTACATAACTCTGTGTTGATAAAAACGATAATGCGATAATGCTATAGTAACCAGTTAGCATAATGCAAAATGACAGCCATGTGTTATTTATATAATATTGTTAAGTTAATATATGACAGATAAGTATTTTTTTAAATGTACATGTTTGTATCCAACCAGCACAGCAAGAAAACATACTATTACGTTAAGTGTCTATTACGGTGGCACAGATGTGACACATGGGTGTCTTTATTAATCTTGTTCACACGAGATATTATCTTGTTCCCACAAGATATTATCTTGTTCCCACGAAATATTATCTTGTTCCCACGAAATAATTATCTTGTTCCCACGAGATAATATCTTGTTCCCACGAAATAATTATCTTGTTCCCACGACATAATTATAGCCAATCAGAAGCTTTAAAATGGTAATATAGCAGTTACTTCCCCTTATTTAGTTGAACATTTACTTTATTATATATACATTATATTCATGTATAACCATGTAGGTTGATCTTGAAAGTGCCACACTGTAGGGACATACAAAACCTTTTCTACCAATTACTGGTGTTTAATAGCGCATACCCTCATCTGGTGACGCATTTGCGTGCAAACTGATCTGGGTCGACACTGGAGGGATACATGTATTGTAAGTAGCCTTTCAAAACTTTATAAGGCGGTGGCCCCGCAGTGGCGTTCAGTCCACCACGCGCGAATGAGTAATAATCAAATACAAATGTCTTAAATCAATGTAGCATGAGAAGGACCGTCTTCGCAGCACTTAAGAAAAAAGTCACAAAACCAATTTAACACGTGTTGCGTATATGCTTATAACGACCATTGTCGAACCATATCCCCCGACAAGTAAATGCGCATTCTGTCAAGGTCTGCACTGTTCGCTGTTGAATCAGTAGGTCAGATTTTAACTGTCAAAGCAGTTAACCCCTTGATTAGCTCACATGGTTTATACAGGTTAACTGCTTTGTTTGCCAGATAGAATTGCATATTTTTTCTTACCTTTTGACCACTTGACAGTAAAGGAATATGCAACTCTATCCACGCCCCTATACCGTTCACAAACTTTCGGGACGGACACTTAGACACTCGGATGGACAATGGCAACGCTATATGGGGCACAAACAATGCTAAAACGTATTGCTTCGGTGAGTTAAGAAGGCACATGCCTCTTGCGCCCCATCGGGATCTGCAACTGGCTATGCACAATAATGTATGATACATTTTACGTCGGGGGTAAACCAGAGTGTAAAATCACGGGTTAGTTGGATAGACTGTTACAGTATCCAATACAATAAATTACAAATTAACATATAAAAAGTTGAGACATTTATCGTTAACCGATTTGGACATTTATGAGCACCTAATTTGTTGCGACATTTTACGTTAATTTTTGGACATTTATCGTTAAAGGAGTTTTGGACATTTATCGGCGATTGAGACATTTATCGTCAATTTTTGGACATTTATCGTTGTTTGATAGGTCTAGGTCTTAGATTCAATATGCTAAACAATAATTTGCAGACTTCAAAGCTGCCGACCCTTTTCCTGCCTTAAATATTTTTCTGTGTTTAAATGTTGTCATGCTCTTTCAATAATGAAGAAAGAAGTATTTTATAATTTAACATGTGTAAATGTTTAAAAAAAAGTAAACAAAAAACAACAAAATATGGAAATTGAGACAGGTATACTATACAGCACGAAATTTCAGTAAGACTAGTAATGTAACATATTATCCCCCGCCGATGGAATCGGAAGGGGGGTATTGTTTTGGCGTTGTCCGTCCGTCTGTCCTTCCATCCGTCCGTAAAAACCCAGAGGTACTTGTGTGAGAACAATGGGTAATATTAAATTCTCCTTGATCCTATTCATTCCGTTTTTACTTGTGTGTCTATTTTAGCCTTGTGTGACTAAAAATGCCAAAACGATCAAAGGAAAAGTCACATAAGTACCATTTTGTGAGTACGTCCGTCTGTACGTCCGTCCTTCCGTCCATCCATCCGTCCGAATTTCGTTTTCGCGCTAGTTATTTGCAACTACTGGCAGGAATTCATTGAAACTTTATGGAAATCATCAATATCAACAGGAGATGCGCATGTCGTCGGCTTCTTCCGGTCAGACACATTAACTTATGGTTATGGCCCTTGATTAGTTATGCAGTATGCATATAGAACAATAATCGTTTCCGCGCTACTTCTCTGCAACTACTGGCTGGAATTCAACGAAACTTTATGGGAACCTTCAATATCAAGAGGAGATGCGCATATCGTAACTTTAATCCGGGCAGACATTTCAACTCAGAGTGATGACCCTTGATTAAAATTATGTTGTATGCATATAGAGCAACAATCGTTTCCGCGCCACTTCTCTGCAACTACTGACTGGAATTCACTGAAGCTTTAGAGGAATCATCAATATCAAGAGGAAATGCGCATATCGTCGGCTTGTTCCGATCAGACCCTTCATAACAGAGTTATGGCCCTTGATAAGTTATGCAATATGCATATAGAGCAATAATCGTTTCCGCTCTTCTTCTCTGCAACTACTGGCTGGAATTCAATGAAACTTTATGGGAATCTTCAATACCAAGAGAAGATGAACATATCGTCGTCTTGTTCCGGTCAGACACTTAAACTTAGAGTTTTGGCCCTTGATTAGTTATATGGTATGCATATAGGGAAAACTTTATAGAACCTTCAATACCAAGAGAAGATGCGCATATCATCGCCTTGTTCCTGTCAGACAATACTAGTAACTCAGAGTTATGGCCCTTGATTAGTTATGCAGTATGCATATAGAGCAATAATAAATTCCACGCTGCTTCTCTGCAACTACTGGCTGGAATTCAATTAAACTTTACGGGAACCATTAATACCAAGATGAGATGTGCATAATTTGTTGACTTGTTCAGACCAGACCCTTCATTACAGAGTTATGGCCCCTGATAAGTTATGAAGTATGCATATAGAGCAATATTGCTTTTTCTTTGCAACTGCTGTATTGATTTCAACAAAACTTTATTGGAACTATAGATACAAAAAGGCAATTTACATCTCATTGCCATGTCCAGATATTTAACACTGAGTTAATAAAGGCTCTGTTATTGCCCAGAATATTTATTATGTACAAAGAATATTACTGTTAACGCCATAATAGATATATAAATAAAACCTTATTTCCTCTGTTGTTGTGTCAGTAATAACCAGCATTCGGCGGGGGATATAAATTCAACGAATTTGCTTGTTTATTTTGTAGCACTATATATTTATCTCATCAATGCTTATACTTGCAGCAAAGGGTTTGATGTGGTAATCTGAATGTATCAGTATCGAAAAAATACCCGTATCGTTTCATCAGAATCGGTATCGGACCTTTTTGTGAAGAAAATATCCAACCCTACCTGGGGTTTGATTATCGATTTATTAAGTTATTTATAAGTTATTGCCCTTGGCTAAGTAAAAATTTACAATTTTCAACTTGTGTTCTCCGTAGCCAAAACAGTATTTGACTGAAACTGTATAGGAATGTTGGTCAGCCACCTAGGGTTTCGCTTTTTGATTGATTCAGTATTTGATAAGTATTGCCCTTGACTGAGTAAAAAACTTCTGTCATGCATAGCCCAAAACGTTTTTACCTAGAGCCATGAAACTACGGAGATACACAGAGTCAGCAGGTTAAAAGTTTCCTTTTGCTCTGACAATATAAAAACAACAACAACAAGGTGTCTTCCAATGCAAAATAGTCTTTGCATGAAATAATGCACATAATGCATTTGAAGTCTTCCTCCACCATTAATGCTGAAAAGTAGCAATATGAACTTTACAGTAGCTTAAACAATCAAAAGCAGAACGTAAATACTATGTAGGTTAAAACTAAAAAATGTAAAAAAATAAAACAAGTTGTTAGTTTGTAAAACTTTAATTTCAATACATACAATAATTTTAAGTCTAAAAATATGATGATATTGTACATAGTGTGAAATTTATGCTTGTATTTTATTCATTTGATCTCGCTTTGCATCAATTGTCATCTTTTTGTTCTACACATTTTTATACAGTTTTATATGATGGTTTCTCTCAGGATAGAACGCTTTATTTGTACATACACAAAGTGTACTGGTTTCAGCGCACCAACATATAGCTTCAGGACTATCTACATCCTCCAATATAGTTATCCTGTTTTTACAGTCACCACTTACTCTAAATATGCAATTAGTAAAGTTGTCACTCACGAATAGGGACCCTTCGTCTATCAGTGAAATACCTCTTGGACTTTCAATGTCTACATTCCTTCCCATCATCTCACCCTGCCAATTGAACCATATAACTTCTTTTTTGCCTTTATCAGATACATAGATTGAATGGCTGTTTGTGGTGACATGATACGGTAAACTAAAAATACTATCAGCATTGGAATCTTTCTCAACTGTAATTTTAATATTACCTTTCAAGTTCATAATTTGGAGTTTAGCAGGATATAAAAATGTTACTGCATGTTTCCCCTGATGATGGCTTATTCCATGGCACTCTCCATCTACTTTCAGATTGCTTTTCAATGAGAGAGACTTTGAGGAGAAGGAAATGAATTGTATTGTGTAAATGTCTGGTAATGTAACAGCAAGTGTATCTCTGGTCACCATGGTGATATCCCAGGGATTTGTTTGGAGTTGTAATTGTTTGATTTCTCCACTTTTTCTGTCAATCATTTTAATTGATTTATTTTTGTAATCTGCTACAAATAATTGGTTCTGATGAGAGACAGTTATACCATTTATCCAGCAATCATTTCTATCAGAGGATGTTTTAGCACTGATTTTTCTAGGCGTAATCTTATTCTTTGGTTCAGCGGGTTTTCTTAGTTCCTTTTTTATCAATGTTCCTAATAATGTTTCATTCTGAAGGAGATTTCTGATTGCTTGATTGGACTCAAAATTGAATTCATCAACATCATTGGTTGTTTGTAGTTGTGTAGTGATATTAACATTGTGTATTATCAGTTGCTGAGCTATTTTCAATTCAGTAAACAGTTGGTCAGATTTCTTGTTTGTGTTGAGTTGTTTTAGAGTATCAGCTGATGCTTGGAGTGATTTTTTGATGTCATCACATGTTGTTTCTGTTGTTTTTAACTTGTAATTGTTGTCCTGTTGGATTTTTGTTGCATTATCTTTAACCGTCATTTCTAGTTCATCTAATCTTTTGCTTATCTCTTTTCTAAAGTTCTCTATCTCTGCTATAGCATCTTTCAGTGAAGCTGTTGATTTAGCAACTCTTTGTTTTATATTGGTTGTAATCTGGCAACATTTGTCTGTTAGTTTGTCAATATCTCTAAGAGTTTCTGTGAACTCAATGCTGTCTAAAGTCTGTCCGGATATATCAGGTATGTAGTCGACATGGCAGGAAATTGGTGTGTGTTCAAGGGTCACACAAACACTACATATAAGTGTATTATGGTCATGACAGTAGAACTTGATCACTTCTTTTGTGTGTTTGTTACAAGGCTTGAAAAGTTCACAAGCATGTCCACCAGATTTAAATTTATATGATATTTGTAGATCTTGTTTCTGTGGCATGTGATCTTTATCTAGAAGTTGGTGATGTCGTAGTGGTTTTGGTCGTGTGTGAGTGTTAAAGCAAGTTTTACATAAATGTTCCTCACAGTCGACACAGTAACCAAAGGCAGGTAGTCTGATGTCATCTCTGTCACATTGTTCACAGAATATGTCAAAATCTTCAGCACCACCTCGAAAAAGTGTAGATAACAGTTTTTGAGATGCCTTTTTACCAGGCACAGACATAATCACTCTGGAATATACAAATGATATAGCATTGTATAATGTAAAGCAGTCACTTTGGTGACGTGTGTACTAAAATGTTAGGAGGATTATTTTTTAAAGTTCAAGATATATTCTCAAAAAAGATGTTTTCAATGTACTAGTAAAAGATGACTATTTATCTGACAAAAAGTGATTCGGATTTATTATTTTTGTATTCAAATACATGTACATATATCTTCATAAAATGGAAATTAAGAAGGGTTATGTAAAAATAAACTGTTTCTTTGTGATTCTGTAGGTTCTTGGATTAAAGCTGCCTTCAGCTTCAATTTTCTGTTGGAAAATCAGTTGTGTATTGTTTCAAACTAAGTATTTTAGTAGTTTTATCTTGGAAAAATGCTTGATATCACTGTTAAGCCTCCTTCAAGGCAGCGGCCGAGAGCTATTTATAATCATTTGTGACATTTGTTTCTAGAAATAAAAGATGAGAAAATGATTTATATCCTCCATCTTGCCCCTGCCCACCCCGACACCTCCCCCCACATCATAAAATTTTAAAGCAAAGTTATTGATCAAAGTTACTTACTGTTAATTTATCCGGCCCACAAGGTTATTGTAAATGTAGAATATTTATCTCCTTATTCAACAAATCTACTGCCTTCTATCAGGTAGTCTTTAGACTTTAAAAGATAAAATTATTTAATTTGTGATAGTCATAAGATATCCGTTGATAATTGTACTAAAATTTACATGTACACTGAAGGGCATCGCGAAACATGATAAATTATACATTTTATTGAGAATACATTATTTCTGTAAAAATTTGATTTAATTATAATTTTAGAAGAAGGGCTTTTTCCTAAGTGTTAATTAATGAGCTCCTGGCTTCATCCTGAAGTAATGTAACTTTATCAATGCCATGATTTGAATTTTCATTTCTGAAAAGCTTTTTATTCACACATAAACGAAGTTTAGGGGGTATATAGGAGTCAGCTTGTCTATCGGTCGGTCCACATCATGGTTTCCGGACGATAACTAAAGTTTGGAATGATGTATTATAATCAAACTTGAAAAATAGCAACCTTATGTGGAACTCCAGTTGGTATTGCATTTGGATCCCCAGGGGTCAAGGTCAGGGTCACCGTTACTAAAAATAGAAAAATGGTTTCCGGACAATAACTCAAGTAAGGAATGAGATATAGTAATCAAACTAGGTGTATAGCAAGCTGATATAAAGACCCCCGTTGGTATTACATTTTGTACCCCCTGGGGTTAAGGTTAAGATCACTTTTATTAAAATAAAAAAATGGTTTCTGGAAAAAACTAGAGTTAGGAATGAGATAGTGTAGTATAGCAAGCTTATATCAAAACCTCGGTTGGTTTTGCCTTTGGACCCCCTGGGGTCAAGATCATTGGCACTGTTACTAAAAATAGAAAAATGGTTTCAAGACAATTACTAGAATTAGGAATGAGATGTTGTTATCAAACTTGGTGTATATCAAGCTCATATGAAGACCCTGGTTGGTTTTGCAATTGATCGAAATAATTCTTTGTACACAGTCCTTTTTTATAGGCTGAGTTCAAATTTTTCTTCAGACCACTTATTTCTTCTGTACGAAATCTGCTGTGGTATACTTTTACAATAGGTTTAGTCTTAAATTTGGTTTGCAAATCATGGTAATGCAACTACATAATTAGATTAAAAAGCAGACGCTTGTTTTGGTTGCGTCTATTATTTTTTTTTAGAGGTGGGTTGTCATACACAAATTTACAATTTGTATGCATTTATTACTTTTCTATGACTTGATTTTATTTTAAATGCTTCTGGGATTGTTTAATAAAATTATTTGTATTTAAAATGGTTATATATCCGATTAAAGACATAATTTTAATGAAAATGAAGTCAGTTCACACCTTCATGTGTTGGTTTTAGCCAATGGAAAAAACATCAACATAGTCGGGCAGAGAAAAAGTTTGCAAATACATGTAGTTAATCGATAATCTTTGTGTAGCAAACAAACTTTGAATAGCAATTATATTTTTGGCAGAAGAAACCGTCCGAGTAGAGCCAGGCATTTTCGTATCGTAAGATGGCTGCCGTTACACTATCACGTGATTATCCTAAGTACCACCACGACTTAGCGCGGGAATTATAAATATAAATAGCAAACCTGGTCACGTAGTGTAGGATAGGAAATACCTTTTCATTTTTATTTGTAATTGATATTAACAGACCGTATCTTCGGGGTTTTATTGGATCAATTGGTAACAAATTACAATGTTTTGTAAATAAATAACCATGTCTCAAATCTGTGCACAATTTTAATAGGTTATGTTCAGTGGAAGATGTGTAATTTGTGTTTATGTTTTAGAGCTGTAAATTGGTCGTGAATGGTCATTTTTCTCATCTGAATGAATGCAACTTTAATATTATGATTACATTTGTTACATTCCATGTAAATGTTGAAAGATATAAAATATCTGATGACATGTTTGTTCATTTTACATAACACCTTAAATGCAGCAAGCATAAAAAGTCTACACAAAAGTTAGTATGCAATCGAACCTATGAAAAAATACGAATGTATGTAATATTTCTTGTTTAAAAAGTCAAAGTTGCTTGTGGTGAGGGTATTGATAACCTTTAGTGATAGCTCTAGTTATATTTGGTGTTCTTTTATAATTTTCAAAAAGTAACTTATTGGCAATAACCTGATCTATTGCTTGTTGGCAATTAGTGCAGTTATAGTAAAATGGTACATTTTTTGTATTTTGTATGAAAGTCAAAATACTACTTTATTTGTATTTGGTAACTTTTATGACAAATATCTTCACTTTTAGCTTAACCTTCTTCCTTTCTTCAGGTTACAAACATCTTACATGTTCGTAGGCCATTTTTTGAATGTACCATTTTTTAGAATGTTATAAAATTCATGTTTTTCCTTACTAAAAAAAGTAAAATATTATTGTTTCAGAGCCTAATGTTCCTTTAAGTTAATAATAAATTTAGCATTTTTAATGAGATAAACAAACTAAAACAGCCGCCACAATTATAAAAATAAGTTATTATATGCCAGCAAACATTTTGGCATTTAATGTCACGCACCTGATGGTTTGTCCACTTATACGCTCCGGTCACCTTACAGGATGAATGTCTATTTCTATTCCTTTCAGACTGTACATGTATTTGTGAGGGAAAAATTGTTAATGGGGTAGATAGCGGTTGCTTATGGAGTTTTTAGTGATCAAAGAGGATCAAAGTAAAACAACATAGTGTATACTCAGAAAGAGTGTTTGTCCGTCTGAGTGTCTTTTATCAATTTCGTGTCCACTCTGTCTCTTTTGAACCAAATGAAGGAAATTGAATTTTGCTAGAAGTTCATATTGCTCTGATACTATGTTGGTGGACAAGACATATTTATCTGTAGTAACAGAAAACTAAGATATTATCAATCATACTGTAAAGTAAAAAAGAAAAGAGTGGTGAAGAATTTATATGTAAAAATCGAGCAGTAAAGATATTTTATGGCCGTCAAGTGGTCCAATAAATCGAGGTTCTAGAATTTGGGAAGCTTGTTAAACATAATGAATAAAGACAAACAAATGAGTTAGTTGTAATTGGGCTTTTATTAAAGCCGGTATATATACAATGCACCTTGCGATTTTGTTATGGCTAGAAATATTACACTATCAAATGTTATTATGTTTTATCTGGGCATACAACTACGCCTTGCATAAGAACATTAAAGAACAATAAATATTTGATTATATCACAAGTAAAATATTTGATTATGCCAAAAGTAAATAAAATACATGTTAAAATAACATGAAGAATCTAAACAGTAAAAAAGTGATCTATATAAAAAAAAATAGCTAGACATTCAAAATGATCTAATTGGGTGGAGGAGGTAAACGCAATGCTACGATGAAAATTGTGAAATTCAAGCTGACAAAAATATATGAATTCCTTTGTCTACAAAATTTGACGCTAATTAAAGCGCATGCGTAGAAAAAAATCACGGTGCACAACTGATAAAGATGATACGGACAACAGCTGTTGTACATCAATAACTTAAAAAGAGACCATTTTGTCCATGAAATATTTTACGTATAATAAATTCATATAATATATTTTGATACACATTATAGCTGGGTGTAATGATGATGACTCAGAGTTAGATGGCGATATGTTCTTTGCCGTATGCTTGCATTTAAAGGGTTAAATCATTTCGACAACATGACCTTTCTTAAATAATTTTGATTGAACGAAAATCCTTTCCTAAGAAAGAAACCCTAATGAGAGTTTTGCATGTAGACTGATCTTAAAAACCATTTAATGTATTTACTTGAAAATTCACACATGACTTAGGTTCATAGCTGAATGTGACTGTTTAAAAACAATAAATCAAGCTGAATGATAGCCCTTTGATAAACTAGAAAATTCCTGGTTAACGTTTTGCATGAAAGATCATTTAATTATTAAAAACATTCATTTGACTCCCCTTCCCCTTACTATGAAAAAAGCCCTGACCCCACCAGAAGAGATGAACAGTTTTATTAAAATAAACTTCACATTGTCTGACACACACACACGCACACGCACACGCACACACACACGCGCACACACGCACGCACACACACACACACATCAGTACAGTTGTTCTGTCTTTATGGTCACCACTTACTCTATATATACATTTATTCCCGCCATCACTCACAAAGAAGGACCCGTCATCTAACAGATTTCTCATCTTGAGTCAGCAATACATTCATTTTAAGTTATAAAACTACCTTAATTCAACTCAATATACTCTATAAAGTATACTTAAAAGTTTAAATATCTGTTAATTATTTCAAATATTAATATTTCTTTTGAAAATGAAATGAAAGAGAAATTTATAATGCGACCAGACAAAACAAAAGAAAACAGTATCATAAATCATAAATGAAAAAAGACCCCTTTCCATCCCTGGTTTTATTTTGTAAATATATATATATTGTTTACTTGTGTGCATAGATCAACAAAAATGAAACAATATAGTAAATCATTACAATTATAATGTTGCTAAATTTTACTCTGAACTATTGAAAGCTAGTGATCTTGAATTCTTGGTTCTACACCATTTTATACAGTTTAATATTATTGTCCCTATCTGTATATGTACATGTACATAGATGAAGTGTATAGGTTTCAGCACACCAACATCCAGTTACAGGATTCCCTACATTCTCCAGTACAGTTGTTCTGTCTTTATGGTCACCACTTACTCTATATATGTATTTATTCCCGCCTTCACTCACAAAGAAGGACCCGTCATCTAACAGGGAAAAAGCCCTTGGACCTCCTATGTCTACATTCCTTCCTATCATCTCTCCCTGCCAATTAAACCATATAACTGCATTTTTGCCTGAATCAGATACATAGATTGAATGTCTGTTTGTTGTGACATAATAAGGGTAACTGAAAATACTGTCACCATTGGAATCTTTCTCACCTGTAATTTTAATATTACCGGTACCTTCGAAGTCCATGATTTGGAGTTAAGGAGGATATAAAAAGGTGATTGCAAGTTTCCCCTTGTGATGGCCTATTCCATGACATTCTCCATCTACTTTCAGTTTATTTTTCAATGAGAAAGAGTTTGAGGAGAAGGAAATGAGCTGTATTGTGTAAATG